CTGTAGAAAAATTTGTTCTACATGTCTAGTCTATGTGTTCTCTGGTCAGTGGTTATGGTTAACCATCGATAGATACACATCGATCGATAGTTAACCATATCGGTTGCTGGGAAGGTTGTCGATATGTGACGTGCCATTTTGAGTAATAGAAGAAGAAGAGGTAGATCGATATAATTTAGGTTTGACTGTGAACAAGAGAAGACGTGTGAAATTAGGAGATGAATAAGTTATGAGATTAAGAAATAAAGAAATTAGATTAAAGGCCTACTACAACTGTTAAGTGAATGTCCAAATGGCACGTTTGCCAGATCCAGAGGCTTCATCAATTGTAGAGTTTAGCGACTGCTCTTTCGTACTCGTAAAAAACAAGCACACGTCTGGTTGATTATGGCATGTAATTGGATTAAAGCTGCAAGAAATGTACATAAAAGCAGTGCCTGCTGGTTCAGCTGCTTATCCTGGCTCCTCCTTTAGCTCGTTTCTCAGGTTTGGGCTGTTTATAAAAATCGCCGCACGCATAAAATTTAATAGGCTGCCACAAGGAGCGGCCCAGTCGCAGTTGGGTGGATGGGTTGGTGCGTTGGTGGGTTGGTGTCGACATGGGCTGCGACAAGTACGCGTAATATCAATAAAATTAAGCCGATGGCCCGTGTGGCAGGGGCCGAGGGGCGTGCTGTGTGTGCAATCACAAAACGCAACAGCGACTATACCAAACAATAAGCTGAAAGCCTCTTACATGTATTTTTATGCGCGCCTCGTTCCAATCATTGCAAGCTGCCTCTTCACATTCCACGTCTCCGGCCAAAGCGCCTGCTGCCAGTCCATTCGCCTAATGCGACTTGAAAAGTCAACGACATCCGGCGTTCGCCTCGCGGTGTGGAACAGGCCAGGACACAACGCTTCAGCGTCAGCTTTGGCGTCAGCTTTGGCGTCAGCTTCAGCTACGGCTTTTCCGTTAGCTTCTAAATGCGGCACGTCATTGTTTTGCAGCCAGGTTGCCTCCGCCTGGCCCCCGACGAGCCACGCACCATACACACGGCACCCAAGTGCCAACAGCCACAGTAGACAGACGTTCGAAGGTGGAAGATTGGGGCAAGCGCTTGCTGCCGCCAGCGTCAACATCGGCGTTGTTGCTGTTGTTGTTGTCGCGTCTAGTGCTGTTTAAATATGAAAAACTAACTCGTAGCTGCTTTTCACATTTTCCTGCACTTGACACTAAATTCACTTTGGCCAAGTAGGTGCTCCGTGCGCTTCAAGCGCACTTTCGCTGGCAACAACAACGACAGCAACAATGGCAGCAACAACAACAACACTGTTGTTGCACTATCCAACACTAGCAGCACTCGCACTTAATGTGCACTCCACACACATACACATGTGTGTTTGGTGGTGGTGACGTACGGTTGCGTGTGTGTGTGTGCCCCAGTCACAGCTGGCCCTGAGCTCATCCTCCTAGTACCTGATTTTACTCCTGGAGCCACTCTAGCCAGGTGCTCCGCCCTCTGCTACTGCCTCTGGCGGCAGCAATGTACATACTCGTATATTTATTTTATTACTTAAATAAATTACAAAACGGTTGGCGGTTAACCAAAGCCAAATGGCCATCTCGTTGCCTTTGCCAACTACTAGCTAGAGGATCTTAGCGCAAAATATATTGTACGACCTCTATATAAATATAAATATATATATATATATATATATATATATATATAGCCAGCCACTGGAACAGAATCACAATAAGCGGCAAGTCGGCTGCTGGTTTCTCTATGCTGCGCAGATCGAAATCATTTGAGAGGATCTCTCGCTCATACACCAAATTTATATGGTATGTGCATGTATATATGTATATGTACATATCATGCACTTCTGATAATATAACAGAGCGATCCGACTAGGCTAATGTGTGCAGCCCCACTTTGCGCTTTCTTCTGTGTCATAGTCCTCTGGCCAGCTTGCCCCACTGTGGGCCCAGGCCTGTAGTGATATCCCATAGATGAAGCTGTGTGAGCATCGTCCTTGGCTAATAGCTATAGGTACTCGACCTAAAACTATTGGCACACCATCTGAGCTTATTTCGGAGGCATCTGCTGGTCTGTAGCAATGCCTCCACCCAGCACTTACCTGCGGTTAGCTAGGGTGAGCCCGTTCCGGAATTAAATGAAAATGCTTTGTTGTGTTGCTTTCAATTCTTACGTTTTTCTATTTACAAATTAATCGATTTTCTGTCTGCTTCTGTTTGTTTTTCACAATTAGCTTGAGTTTTGATTCGTGTTTGTATTTGTTGTATGCGTAATATGAATTGTATTTAATTTTTGTATTAATATCAAGTATTTGTTGAAATCATCTTTCAAATAGTACATATGTATATATATATTTGTCTGTGTATTTATATGTGTGTGTAGTGTGTCTGTGTGGGTACATCTTTGTATTTGTAGTTGTGTTCTATTTATATTTGCATTTCCATGCTGCTTATGCATTTCTATTTGTATTAGATTCTCTTTGTTAGTATTGTTCTTTTATTAGTTCATTGAAAACCCTCCATTCAATCGCACATATATATACATATACATATATATATGTATATATATATGTGCATATATATATATATATGCATAGATATAAAGTGGTGAAAACTATTAGAAGGTAGGGCCAAGCCAGCCGTGGATATATATATTAGCTGGGGTCCACATGCTCCGTCGTCCGTAGATCCTTAGCCGTAGTAGCTGTTGGGCGGCTGAGTGGGGTAGTCCTTGGCGCCGTTGCTGCTAGCGCCGCCGGAGCCACTGCGCGAGGATGGGTTTTCGCTGAAGAGGCCCCCAAAGTTCTTGGAGTTGAAAATCTCGCTGAGGCCGCTGCCGCCGCCGCCATGGGTGGCGCCTCCTGTGCCACCGCCGCTGAGGAGGCTGCCGAGGAAACTGCTGGCACCGACGCCACCGCCGCCGGCATTGCCGTTGGCACCGCCGCCAGAGAGCACAGAGCCAAGGAGGCCGCCAAGTAGATTACTGCCACCGGACGAGCCGCCGGATGAGCCGCCACCTCCGCCGCTTGAGTAGCCACCGCTGGGCTGGTAGCCGTTGGCCCCACCTGCGCTGGCGCCGCCGTTGGCCCCGCCGCCCTGCAGCTGCTTGGCTATTTGCCCTGCAATGATACCGGAAACCGCTTGACTCACCGCCGGATTGGAGAAGAAGCTGGAGAAGAAGCCGCCGCCCTGCTTGTCCTTGGGCTTCTGGGCGGCGCCACCGCCACCATTGTCATAGCCAGGCGCGGGCGGAGTGTAGCCGGGCACCGGCTGATAGCCACCGCCAGGAGCGGGCTGGTAGCCGCCCTGCGGGTGGTAGCCGCCCTGTGGGTTGTAGCCACCCTGTGGATTGTAGCCGCCTTGTGGATTGTACCCGCCATACGGATTGTAGTCAGCAGCACCGCCACCATTGTTGTTGTTGGGGAGCGTGGGATAGAGACCATGGCCGCCAGCCGAGAAGCCATTACCATATCCACCTGCACCGCCGCCACCGTATCCACCAGCTGTGCCACCGGCGCCACCCTGGCTGCCATCTGCCTCCGGCAGCGGGGCGCTGGGTCCGTTCGGCGCGTACGAGTTGTGCGTGTTGCCGCTGCTCACTGTGGATCAGACGCAGCGATTGCATCGTAGCAGCAGCAGCAGCGCAGTAGCGTCAAGCGGTTAGAGTTAGCCACAAAAGCGTTTGACAAGAGGGTAAAACATAATTTATGAAGAAAAACAAGAAGAAGGAGAAACATAAAAGGCGATAAGCATTTAATGAGGCCAAAACAAAGAAGACGTCGAAAATGAAGAGGAAATTAATCAAAGCCCAATCTATGTATGCTAGAGAGTGGAGAAGGAGGATTTCTTAATTCGTTCTAATCAATTCTAGTGTTCTTTTTGGTTAACTTATTTTAATTAAAGTTTCATTACAGCTGCCCGTGTTACGTTTTGATTAGCGTTTCTGTATATGCCTACAGTCGATAGAGTTATCGATAAAAATTATCGTTATTGCAACATTTAAATTCTACACAACTTTGAGTTTGATTTGTTTTGATTTTTTTTTTTTTTTTTTGCTTAGTTCTTATAAGTCTTCTCTGCCGTATGCATAAGTATATTGGTTAATATATATAATGTATATAATGTATATATATATATATTAGGTTTTTATACTCATAAATGCGACTGCTATGTACAACGCCAAATAGAAGCAGATACGGTAGATGCTCTCCCTGCCACTATCAATTTGTTTTTGAAACGAGTATAGCCGAACACCTTGCGTACCCTGCATTAACTATAGCTAACATATGTATATATTATGAAAGTTTATGTAGGTTTCAATATTTAATTATTATTTGCATGCACTTGAAATAGTTGTAATAATGTTTCATTCTATTTTTGCCAGGAATAAATTTAAGTTTATGTACACATATATATGTGTACATAAACTTTAATTAACATATCTATGTATGTGTATATATATATATATATATATATATATATATATATATATATATATATAT